CCTACTAAACTCCAGCTAAACCTCAGTCATCTACTAAACTCCAGCTAAACCTCAGTCATCTACTAAACTCCAGCTTAACCTCAGTCATCTACTAAACTCCAGCTAAACCTCAGTCATCTACTAAACTCCAGCTAAACCTCAGTCATCTACTAAACTCCAGCTTAACCTCAGTCATCTACTAAACTCCAGCTTAACTTTAGTCAACTACTAAACTCCAGCTTAACCTCAGTCAACTACTAAACTTCAGCTTAACCTCAGTCAACTACTAAACTCCAGCTTAACCACAGTCATCTACTAAACTTCAGCTTAACCTCAGTCAACTACTAAACTCCAGCTTAACCTCAGTCAACTACTAAACTCCAGCTTAACCTCAGTCAACTACTAAACTTCAGCTTAACCTCAGTCATCTACTAAACTTCAGCTTAACCTCAGTCAACTACTAAACTCCAGCTTAACTTTAGTCAACTACTAAACTCCAGCTTAACCTCAGTCATCTACTAAACTTCAGCTTAACCTCAGTCAACTACTAAACTTCAGCTTAACCTCAGTCAACTACTAAACTCCAGCTTAACTTTAGTCAACTACTAAACTCCAGTTTAACCTCAGTCATCTACTAAACTCCAGCTTAACTTTAGTCAACTACTAAACTCCAGCTTAACCTCAGTCATCTACTAAACTCCAGTTTAACCTCAGTCATCTACTAAACTCCAGCTTAACCTCAGTCAACTACTAAACTCCAGCTTAACCTCAGTCATCTACTAAACTCCAGTTTAACCTCGGTCATCTACTAAACTCCAGCTTAACCTCAATCAACTACTAAACTCCAGCTTAACCTCAGTCAACTACTAAACTTCAGCTTAACCTCAGTCAACTACTAAACTCCAGTTTAACCTCAGTCATCTACTAAACTCCAGCTTAACCTCAGTCAACTACTAAACTTCAGCTTAACCTCAGTCATCTACTAAACTTCAGCTTAACCTCAGTCATCTACTAAACTTCAGCTTAACCTCAGTCATCTACTAAACTCCAGCTTAATCTCAGTCATCTACTAAACTCAGCTTAACCTCAGTCATCTACTAAACTTCAGCTTAACCTCAGTCATCTACTGAACTCCAGCTTAACCTCAGTCATCTACTGAACTCCAGCTAAACCTCAGTCATCTACTGAACTCCAGCTAAACCTCAGTCATCTACTAAACTCCAGCTAAACCTCAGGCATACCGTCCAGAGGAGGTTCTGGTAGCGGATGAGCAGCCGTACGATGTTGGCGGTGCCGGTTGCCATGGCAAATTCCTGCTGCTCGCTGATCTTACTGCGGAAACCTTTACACATAAAGATGTTGGGCGCCATCACCACTGCCACATTGTTGAGGGTCATTTTGTTCTTGTCCTTATGGTGGATCACGCGCTGGAAGAACTCCATCAATGCCTGAACACACACACACTGCTGATCACGCACGTGCGAAGTGGTTGCAGAAGACGTGTGTGAATTTGTAGCGTACCTTTAGTGTGTCTCGGTTGTGTTCGGGCAACAGCAGCACCAGCAGATTCAGAGCCTGCAGCTGCTGCTTCTGAGTGGGCAACTCTGATTAAAACAACACACACACACACACACACACACACACACACACACACACACTCACATCACACAACACTTACACTATGAGGTTTCTGAATGCTTGATTCTGATTGGCTGATGAGCATTCCAAGGCGTGCCATTATGGATCATTTTCTATTTGTTTATGTATTTTATCATCTTTGCATCAAATTACAAAAAAGGTGCAGGGGACGGGATGAGTTGCTGATGAAGGGGAGGAGCTACAGATGAAGGGGAGGGGCTGATGATGAAGGGGAGGAGCTGCTGATGAAAGAGAGAAGCTACTGGTAAAAGGGAGGAGCTGCCGTTGAAGTGGCGGGGCTACTGATGAAGGGGAAGAACCAATGATGGGGGAGCTAACAAAGAGGAGGGACCTCAGATGAAGGGGAAGAGTTGATAACGAAGGAGAGTAGCTGCTAAAGAAGGGGAGGGGCTTTGGGGAGGAGCTACTGATGAGGGGGATGGATATGGGGGAGGAGCTTCTGATGAAGGGCAAGCTACTTTTTAAGGGGATGAGCTTGCTGATGAAGGGGAGGAACTGTTGATGAAGGGGAGGGGCTGCTGGTGAAAAGGAGGATCTACTTATGTGGGGGAGAAGCTGATGATGAAGGGGAGGAGCTGATGAAGGGGAGGAGCTGATGGTAAAGGGGAGGAGCTGCTGGCGAAATGGAGAAGCTACTTATTTGTGGGAGAAGCTGATGATGAAGGGGAGATGCTGATGGTGAAGGGGAGGAGCTGATGATAAAGAGGAAGCTAATAAGGGGGGGGACTTGAGATAAAGGGAAGGAGTTATAATGAAGGGGAGGAGCTGCTAAAAAGGGGAGAGCGGTATGGGGAGATGCTATTGTTAAAGGGTAGGGGCTATGGGGATGAGCTGCTGATGAAGGGGAGGAGCTGCTGATGAAGAGGGAGCTAATAAAGAAGGGAATTCAAATAAAGGGAAGGAGTTAATAATGAGGGGGAGGAGCTGATAAAGGGGAGGTGCTAATGGGAGGAGCTGCAGATAAAGGGGAGGAGCAGATGGTGAATGGAAGGAGCTGCTGATAAAGGGGATGAGCTGATGGGGAAGGGAAGGAGCTACTGAAGAAGGGGAGGAACAGATGGTGAAGGGGAGGAGCTGCTGAAGAAGAGGGAGCTAATGAAGGGGAGGAGTTGATAATGAGGGGAGGAGCTTATAAAGGGGAGAGGCTAATGGGAGGAGCTGCTGATAAAGGGGAGGAGCAGATGGTGAAGGGAAGGAGCTGCTGAAGAAGGGGAGGAGCAAATAGTGAATGGAAGGAGCTGCTGATGAAGGGGAGGAGCTGATGGTGAAGGGAAGGAGCTGCTGAGGAAGGGGAGGAGCAAATAGTGAATGGAAGGAGATACTGATGAAGGGGAGGAGCTGATGGTGTAGGGAAGGAGCTGCTGAGGAAGGGGAGGAGCAAATAGTGAATGGAAGGAGCTGCTGATGAAGGGGAGGAGCTGATGGTGAAGGGAAGGAGCTGCTGAGGAAGGGGAGGAGCAAATAGTAAATGGGAGGAGATACTGATGAAGGGGAGGAGCTGATGGTGTAGGGAAGGAGCTGCTGAAGAAGGGGTGGAGCTGATGGTGAAGGGAAGGAGCTACTGATGAAGGGGAGGAGCTGATTGTGAAGAAAAAGAGCTGCTGATGAAGGGGAGGAGCTGATGGTGAAGGGAAGGAGCTGCTGAGGAAGGGGATGAGCTGATGGTGAAGGGAAGGAGCTGCTGATAAAGGGGAGGAGCAAATAGTGAATGGAAGGAGCTGCTGATGAAGGGGAGGAGCTGATGGTGAAGGGAAGGAGCTGCTGATGAAGGGGAGGAGCTGATGGTGAAGGGAAGGAGCTGCTGATGAAGGCGAGGAGCTGATGGTGAAAGGGAGGGTCTACTGGTGAAAGGGAGGAGCTGATGATAAGGGCGGGAGCTAATAAAGGGGAGGGACTCCAGATAAAGGGGAACTTTAGTGTTCCATTTGGGACGTCACTAACCTCTGCACTACACAGTTGAGTGTAAAAGTGCACAAGTGTATAGTGTGTCATTTGGATTGCAACTCATGACTTTGACAAACAAACAAAAAAATCTGTGATATTCCAGAAATGCCCTGACCCATGGGAACCCTGCACAATTATTTTCTTGTGTGTGTGTGTGTGTGTGTGTGCATGTACTCACTCAGCACAGAGATGAAGGCGTTGAAGTACTGTACGGTCAGCAGCGGGTACGGCAGCTCTCTGATGAACAGCTTCAGTAGACTGGCAGCGTCATGCTGCTTCAGACTCTCCCAAGGAAACAGGCCTTCATAAAACTTGTGCTCCAGCTCATGGCAGACGGCCTGACACACACACAAACACATACACACACCATACAGACACATCCAGATGTAGAGCTGCACTCCTCATTCTCTATATTAATATCACACACACATATCATTGGAGATTTCCATTAAGGGATAGTTCACCCAAGAAATTCAAATTTACTCGCTATTTATTCTCCCTCAAGTGGTTATAAACTTTTATGGATTTCAACATTCTTCAAAATATCTTCTTTTGTGTTCAACAGAAGACACAAGCAGTTTCTCCTCTTGCAGAAACTTGTGCTTTTATTTCTGGTCATGTCTAGCAGTTTCCCATTTTGTTTTGCACATGGGATGTAAATGTAAAAAAAGACGTAAAGCTTTATTCTCATACCTTGACTCGAGTAGCTGCGCCAGGAATCCTCAGCACACCTTCTGTGTCCAAACCCTGCTCCTCTATATGAGAGATCAGCTGGAAAATACGAGCTCAGCATCACCCAGTGCACTTACCTCCATCATTTATGCACTTCTTCAAATTAAAGTTGTGTTTGTGCGCGCGCACAGTAGTGTGTGTCATGTGCAGTAGTTTGTGTGTGTGTCTCCTACATGCTGCAGTATCAGAGGCACTTTGGTTCCTGGGATCCTGCGCTGGTCTTGATCCAGCAAAACAGACAGAGGAACACCAAACAAACCCGACTCTGTGGACGACAAGACAAAACAGCGCAGATTCAGCTCAACACACAAACACACAAAGCACATTAACACTCACACTACCAGAATCCGACAGCCACCACAATAACCAGAGCAGTGATATAAGACTACCAAACTGACTTTTTGTCACATCATATTTACACTCGAAGATCCTATTGAGATTTTACGATGAAAGGTGCCATATACTGCACTAATCCAATAACTTAAAATGTTCTCTGATATCTACATAGTAGGTATGTGGCTTAGGCAAAGTAAGACATTTACAGAAACTGTTTTATATGCTTATTTATTAATACAATACCCCTAGAATCAGAAGGTCCTTATTGACCATATTTGGAATGGTCATGAATATTAATGAGCTCTGCTCTGAAGACCAGGGGCCTCATGTACGAAGACTTGCGTGGAAATCATACTAAAACATTGCGTACACTCAAAGCTGTAAATGTGCGTACGCAGAAAAAAATCAGATGTATGAAACACTGCGTACGCCGAATCCCACGCATATTCTGTTTGTACATCCGAATGAACGTGAAACTGAGCGCAATGAACGAGCACAAAGCCCCTCCCTGCCTCCTCCCTTGTATGAATATGCTAATGACTCTACTTGGCAAAACCAAACGAAAAAGCAACGGCAAAATCAAGCAAGAAGAGAAACTTTGAACAGAATGTGAATTGGAGGTGCTGCTTTCAGAGGTAGACCGGAGAAAAGCGGTGTTATTTGCAAGTTTGTCCTCCGGAATTGACAACAAAAGAAAAAAAATGAGTGGGAGAGTTCAGCTGATGCGGTTAACACAGTTGGGTCTGAACATCACACTGTGGAGTTAAAAGAGAAATAGTGATTTTTATGATAGCATGATAACATGTTTTGACACGTTCGAGCATGAACTTCCAGCGTCTGATGAACTCTTTCCTCTTTTTTTCCTCCGCTACATATCAGATTTTGCCTACTCTTCATCACGAGAAAGACAAGTAGGAATCATTAATAAGTCTGTGCATCATATTTTATTTGCATTTATTGAATGGAAATGTTTCTGATTCACGCATGCAAATTCATCTTCAGATAGTGTCTTCATAGCAATGTGCGTGCAGAAGATCGCTCCCATTACAATGGCAAAACAGGCGACCGCTGCAAATTGCGCTTTAATGTTTGGCTGGTCAACTGTATGGTATGGAAACTTTATACACCTGCTAGATGAACCCGTCTCATACAGCTGCCATTGCAAGGCTCAGACACTTTGTAGTGGGCAATTTAACACAACTGCCTCTAGGAGTCGCCAATGGAAATAAAACAGACACGCACAAAAAATGTGCGTACGCCAGCCATGAAGCTGGCGTGGAGCTGCGCACATTCCCACGTTCAGTTCATCTTTAGTAAATCCAAACGTGAGCGATTCAGAGCGTGAAACCTGGCGTACGCAAAGTTTTTGTGCGTACGCAGCGTTGATACATGAGGCCCCTGCTCTCTTTTTTTTCTCTCTTACAAACACATATGGAATAACATACTCTGAAATAGACATATGCAAAATAATCATACTTAATTGGATCAAAACTACTGTGACAAAGCCTTGTTAAATCTTTTGAACTTAAACGGGTTTATTTTACTTCGATATAATGAGTGATATCTAACAAGGTTTATTGTATGGTGGATTTTTTCTACTGGCTTGATCAGGCTAGAGGTTTAGATTTTTACTTGCCCTGCCAACATTTTCACTGGCCCCACCAATAAAAAAAAGAAGTTAATAGCTGTTTCAGGGCCCTTGATGTTTAATAAAGTGTATTGCAGTGTACAGTGTATATTTAAATAATGAGAACGTGCTAATGAATAGCCCAGTGAGTCACGCAACAGTCTGCTTTGTGTTCCGATTGGCCTGCTTTTTCCCAGGGTTAACTCTCATGGAATTTACTTGAGAAGGTTAGACCTTTTCCATATACTGATACTACTCTTGTTATTTTATCTGTTGTACTTTTAACTTTTATTGCAGGTTTACAATGCAAATCTGCTTAAATTCCCTTGTTTAGTAACCACAATACATTTCTCATATAACATCTGCTAAAAGACCGAAATCTTTACTTTACAAACTGTATTGTACACAATTTATCTAAACATTTGCATATTATTCAATAATACTACTGAAAATCATCTAAAAATGAATAAATATGTATTTACACTCAATGATGGGCTAAAAAAAAATTGACAGAAATCTGCGAACGTGTGAGCCTAGTTATGATTTATTCGTGTTGGTCGAGTTTAAATTTCTTTTTGTATGCAGGTAGACTTACATTTTATGTTTGTGACTCTGTATGAAATTGCATATGGATTTAGGTACGATCACTTTTTTTATTTAAAGCCTAACCAGGAACGAGGGCTGCAAATTAGCCTTACCGTACGTTCACACCGAAAGCGGCGGGAGCGTCAAAGTAGCCGAAAGTCATTCATTTTCAATGAGAGCCGGCGGCGATAGGCGACGATAAGCGGCGAGGAGCAGCACGGCGCGTCTTCTCCGGCGTGAGCGTCGAGGGGAGTTGGAATGAAGTCAACTTTATGGTAAAGAGCTATGACGCGGTTCGGCGGCAAGCAATCAGAAAAAAGACGTCCATCGCTTGATAGCAGTTCAGAGAACACAGACCTGTGAACTTTGGTTCCGACCACAGTTGTTCCCAAGGGTTTGATTATTGCGGTCGCCGGATTTCCAATTATTTACAATGTTTTCTTACAGGAACATACATTAAATAAGTTACTGGCGAGTTACTGATGTTCATCAATGTTATGTAAATTTATCTTTAAAAAGCGGGAATCTCACGCGATGTGACAGTACAAAACAGTACTGCTGCTTCAGGATATTTCAGACATATGGACACATATTGGATAAATAAAGCAAAGCCACACCACATGCAACTTGATCTTCCATTGTTATATGAATTTGATAAGAAGTGCGCAACATTTTCACGCTAGAAACATGTTTTATGCAGGAATGTAACTGATAATGCTGCAACGGCTCCTTTAAGTACGAGATCAATGTAGCGAGTTTTGACGCTCTCGCCGCCGGAGCTGAAGGCAGACAGCGTTGTCGCCAGGGCGGCCAGAGCGATCTTGGACGCTCTCGCCGCTTTCGGTGTGAACGTACGGTTATGCTAAATTAATTTCAGTCTCTTTTAACCAAACAAATAATAAACAGAGTGGGGAGACGTAGTGGCGCAGTAGGTAGTCGCCTCAAAGCGAGAAGATTGCTGGTTCCAGTCTTGGCTGGATCAGTTGTTGTTTCTGTGTGGAGTTTGCATGTTCTCCCTGCGTTCATGTGGGTTTCCTCCGGGTGCTCCGGTTTCCCCCACAGTCCAAAAACATGTGGTACAGGGAGGCAAAATTTTCCATAGTGTATGAGTGTGGATGAGTCTGTGTGGATGTTTCCCAGAGATTTGCGGCTGGAAGGGCATCCGCTGCGTAAAAACATGCTGGATAAGTTGGCGGTTCATTCTGCTGTGGCGACCCCGGATTAATAAACGGACTAAGCCGAAAAAAGTAATTAATTAATGAATAAAACAGATTGACCGACCTCTGACTTTGACCTTGAGTGCTTTATGAGCCTTGACCTCGACTCCGCACGTGTCGAACAGAGCGCTCATCTCTATTAGGACCAGCCTGCGCACCTTCTTCATGTCCTCCGCCGACAGATCGCCCACTTTAGTCTGTCCCGTCTTATCCTGAGACACTTTAAAATCCTGAGAAAGCAGAGACACAGTGAGCAAACAGACCCAGAGAGCTGCAGGACAACACTGAGGTCAGTAGAGTGATGCTGAAGTCTTGGTTCACAGTCTAAGTCAAATGTCGAATTCCCTGATGCTCAGTAGCTTTGATTCCATCCGCTTAGTTTTAGGAGCATTTTGGATTACCAGCTCCATACCCCCGGCAGGATGCTCAAGGGCTCATGGGAGTATGCCCAACCAGTTCACATGTGTTTTGTGGACTTGGAGAAGGCATTCGACCCTTGTGGCATTCTGTGGAGGGTGCTCTGGGAGTATGGGGTGCTCTGTTAAGGGCCTGTATGAACAGAGTAGGAGGTTGGTTCGCATTGCCGGCAATAAGTCAGACTTGTTTCCAGTGCATGTTGGACTCCAGCAGGGCTGCCCATTGTCACCAATTCTGTTCATAATTTGTGTGTGTGTGTGTGTGTGTGTGTGTGTGTAAGACCATCTCTCTCACAGGCAGTCTGTCGTCAGCTTGACACTGAGGTTTGCTGAGCTTCAGCTCTTCTTTATAGACCAGCGCCTGCTCAGAGAAGGACACCTCCAGGTTGATGTCCGTCTCTGTATCAGCTCCGCCCCCTGCAGCAATAAGCCCCACCCCGTTACCTGACGACACACAACACATGCAAATCAGCACACTGAGAAACCAGGACAGGCTAAAACACTGAAACTCCAGTTATCTCACAGCGCTGCTGATTAAAGAGTTACTCAATCAGGCAAAGTCCAGCAGTCAGAGCTCGCCATTCAGAGCTTACTTTACTCTTTAATATGAATGTAGGAAGGGGACGATGTGCTCACATTTGTGAGCATTTTTAGGGATTTTGGCTGCAGCATTGGAGCAGATTTAGAAATGCCATAAAATAAAGAACTGCAGTAATCCAAATTGTGAAGTTATAAAAGAGTGGATATAGAAGTTAAGGAGAAGTGCTCTCATGTGACCATTCGGGCAAATATATACCAGCAATTACGTGCAAATGTCAAACTTGGCATGAAAAAAATTATGTTTTCACCTAAATACGGAAACCTTTTCTGGGTTTTTTTGGGTAAGCAAGTATTTTACAGTGCTTTAGAAATACTCAAAAATGCATCTGTCAATGCGTTTAAACTATTCTATTTTATTTTCCAAAGTCACACAAAAGGCAATTTCACATCCGTCACATCCAACCCAGGCTCATTCTGAAAACGTAGTCCCGTGGACGTTTCTGGAGACTGCAAAATACGTGGCCGGAGGTACATATGGCTGCATTTCATTTTTTTTAAGTGAACGCTGCAGGATGGTGTGACGCCATTCCTTTCGGCGCTTGCCGGCCGACCTCTTACCTCCGTGTGGAGGGCATTGCCACCGCAACCAGTTTGTCCGGTTAGCTCGTCTTGTACGTTGGTGGTCTGGAGGCACAGAGAGGGGCTGACCACAACGACGACCAGGTTTGAGTCCGAGGAAGAGCAGTTCCACAAATTAGGTAAGAAAACAAAAATAAAATCCAAAAAATAAAGCGAACAATTTCATAACAGGGTGCGAATGTGGTAAAATTCGAAAACTGGGTAAAATATCAGAAGAAGGCTTTTCTTTTTCTGGACGGCTTTTGTGAATCGTCGTTGGAGGGTGGGTCAGCTGATTGGCGGGTCACACGGTCAATCACTCTGTCATTCAGACAGACAGATGGAAGATCGTTCTGACAGTGGCCTCTGGCGGGTTCATGCGAGAAGACGTTCGAGATGCAAAAAAAGCACGCACATCGGCCTCTTGCAGATTCGCGAAAACAAAAACTGCAAAAATACGTACCTCCCGGGTCTCCAGAAACGTCCCCGGGACTATGTTTTCAGAATGAGTCTGGGTTGGTCACATCCATAACGACACTTTTTCCTCATAAATGTGCAAATATTAAATTAAATAAAATCAACCATTTTTGTTTTATAGAGCTGACTCTTATCCTTTTGATTAGCATTGTTTCTTTTGGGTTGTGCAGTTTGATTCACTGAATTTCTAGAAAGTATTTTGTGTTCTGTAAACTAGGGCTGCAGCTAACGATTATTTTAACAATCTGTTAATCTGTTGATTATTTTTTCGATTAATTTTGATTACACATTGCAAACCGTACGATTCGATTCAGACTTACATCTAAAAAGATATAAGAGAATAAGTACAAAATATAATGTTTTCAGTGCAACAACCCTCAACAGACAACATGCTGCCTTCCCCGCTGTCATGTTAAACAGTAGACCATCTCGTGCTGGCTCCGCCCCGTTGCCCCAGCAACCCTGGACCCCACACAAAACAGCCAATCTCAATAACCTGTTCACATATCACCACACCCGCCCATCTCCAAACACTACTCCAGTCAGGCATGCGCTACACTAGCTTGCAAAATGGCTAGTAAAGTTAATGTAATACCAGACATCCCAAGTCTCCCGGAACTTTCGGGAGACTCCCAGATGCACGCAAACGAATAATAATCTTCCGGAAATCGCGCGTCTCACCCCCGGTCCATAAATACGTCGCACACCCCTCTCCACCGCATCCCTCCGATTGTTTTTTCTGTAGACATGCGGAAAAAAAATATATAGCTTAAAGGGGCTAATAATATTGACCTTAAAATGGTGATTAAAAAATGAAAAACTGCTTTTATTCTGGCCTAAATAAAACAAATCAGACTTTCTCCAGAAAAAAAAAGAAAATTTCCTCATTTTGACCCATACGGTGTATTTTTGGCTATTGCAAGACTAAGGAATAAGTAAGCTACAAATACATCTGCATCACATAAGACTCCAGATGTACACAAACGTACAGTATGCAATCTCATAGCTGGACATACCAGGATTGATAGCTAACCAGGGTAAAGTTTACCACTGTAAAACATAGATAACCGAGCACTAAAAACAAGCTTCACAATTCTTCAGCGCTGACTGGAAATGACTTTACAACGCCTCAATCACATTCATTTCCACAGGCGCATTGTTTATTATCTCGTACACTGAGAAGAAGCGGAATATTTCAGCTATCAGTATCTATGTGACGTCAGAAAAGGCTGCCTATTATGCAAAATTCACTTTTATAATTGGTTTAAACACTGAAACAGTGTGGATATATCAAGTCTCTAATGGTAAAAAATAATTCTATTTTCTATGATCAGACTTGATATAAACAGTCTGCCGAAACACTTTGATTGACATTCTCCATTTGTACGTCATCAGAGGGAGAAAGCCCCGCCCACTAGTGACCATATCTCCCTCATTAGCATAGGACGTTAGTCTTGTTTGTGAGTCTGCCTCTATGCTGACGCACAGGCATTTGTAGCTCCGCCCCCTTCTGAAAAGAGCACAATCTCATTTGCATTTAAAGCGACAGTCACACCACAATTAGGATCAAACGCCTAAAAGGGTCAGTTTCAGAGAGTTATCGAACATTATTTACTTGGTATTTTGAGCTGAAACTTCACCGACACACACACACACACTCTAGGGACATTAGAGATAAAGTCAAATGTTTGATTTCTGTTCCATTGAATGCACAAAAGCGGTTTTCTTTACCCTTTATATTTGTTTAGCCTGGCAGTTAAAAGCTACATGGAAACGTTTAGAGGAATGCCATAAAACTCGACTTTAACTCATGAGACTTACCCAGTCCTTCCACTTCCTGTTTCTTGCTGCCACTTCGCTCTGTGGATTCTGCCTCATCCTGCTTAGTCAGAAAGAAAAAAGGGAAACAAGAGAGAGAAGAAATCTGAGTCATCCCACAGGGGAAAATACTATAGAAACTCACAGTAAACACTGTAGTGTTTTTGAACCATAATATAGTAAAGAGCTTGAATTAATCTGCGATGGTGATTCTATAGCTGGTATGGTAACAACAACAATACTAATTCATCTGTTGTAGTGATTCTACAATTGCTATGGTAGCACAACAGCTACAGTAACATTAACCAATGACCCAGCAGTACTGTGGTTTTCTACAACTATAGGGTATATTATACTACTATACACCACAGTTTACTGTAGTAAAATGTATAGTATTTATCATAATTTATCAGTTATAAATAATATAATAAATTAAAATTAATAAAATAAATAAAATTAATTCATTTAAAAAAAAAATCAAATATTATAATAAACACAAACCGGCCACTTTATTAGGTACACCTGTCCAGCTGCTCGTTAACGCAATTTTCTGATCAGTAGACATGGTCAAGACGATCTGCTGCAGTTCAAAGCGGGCATCAGAATGAAGAAGAAAGGGGATTTAAGTGACTTTGAATGTGAAATGGTTGTTGGTGCCAGACGGGCTGCTCTGAGTATTTCAGAAACTGCTGATCTACTGGAATTTTCACACACAACCACCTCTAAGGTTAACAGAGAATGGTCTGAAAAAGAGAAAATATCCAGTGAGCGGAAGTTCTGTGGGTGCAAATGGACATTCGGATGGTCGGGTCAGAATTTGGCATCAACAACATGAAAGCATGAATCCATCCTGCCTTATATCCGCGGTTCAGGCTGGTGGTGGTGGTGTAATGGTGTGGGGGAGATTTTCTTGGCACACTTTTGGCTCATTAGTACCAATTGAGCATCGTGTCAACGCCACATCCTACCTGAGTATTGTTGCTGACCATGTCCATCCCTTTTATGAGCACAGAGTCTCCATCGTCTGATGGCTACTTCCAGCAGGATAACGCACCATGTCATAAAGCGTGAATCATCTCAGACTGGTTTCTTGAACAATACAATGAGTTCACTGTACTCAAATGGCCTCCATAGTCACCAGAACTCAATCCATTAAAGCACCTTTGGGATGTGGTGGAGCGGGAGATTGGCATCATGGATGTGCACCCGACAAATCTGCAGCAACTTTGTGATGCTATCATGACAATATGGAGCAAAATTTCTGAGGAATATTTCCAGTACCTTGTTGAATCTCTGCCACAAAGGATTAAGGCAGTTCTGAAGGCAAAAGCGGGTCCAACCAGGTACTAGTAAAGTGTACCTAATAAAGTGGCCAGTGAGTGTAGTTTAATAGTAGTTCAAAACACAGCAGCATTTGCTATAAGTTCACATGATCAATAGTGTAAGATAAATAGTAAGGAGAATCTTAATTTTGGATGAATCTCTTTCATTTTCATTGACGTAAACCTAGGGTGCCCAAACTCGGTCCTGGAGGGCCGGTGTCCTGCATATTTTATTTCCAACCCCAATTAGACACACCTGAACTAGCTAAGTACGCTCTTTCTGGGTACACTAGAAACTTCCAAGGAGGTGGAGCTAAACTATGCAGACACCGGCCCTCCAGGAGCGAGTTTGTACACCCCTGATGTAAACAGTACATCATTTTTGGCCTCTATAACCAGCCCACTGCTAGTTTACCCAATTACATATGTACTGCTTTTGTAAATAGTGTAACAATAAGAATTTCTGCATTGTTTCCAGTCATTACTTTATCAGTTTATTATGTAGTGCAGTGTCCTGCAGAAATATAAATCACTACGTACAGCTTTCCCTAATAAACCTGTCAAAACAACACAATAAATGACAGTAAGCTTGGTGATTTAGCACAGATCCTTCAAACCTGCCTTACATTTTCATGGTTATTCATTACACTATGCTGAAATGTTAATTAACAGCTGCTCTTGTGTAACTGGTGACACTGTAAACAGCCTGTAGAAGATGTCTGAAAGCTGCGGTCACGGTTGGTTCTGGGCAAATACTGACTTAAAGAAAATACCTATAGCAAAAAAAATATTAGCAACCAGACCTTTTAAAAGTGGCACTAGCTATGTTTCCATCTACCTATTTTGTATGTGTATTTTGAATTATTGTATTAAAAAAATGCTTGAATGGAAATGCCGAGAAATTATCAAACAAAGCACGATTTCGTTTTTGACATGAATATCAGATATAACTGTGTGTGACTGGACACACTGATGTATGTTGCAGCATTTCCAGCTCACTGTAAAACATCTGAAATGTTGCTTTGCTAAGTTCTAAAAGGCCTCAGGCGTCAGTCTGTCATCACAGTGCTTCAGTATTATTATTATTACTATTGTATTATTGTTCCCTCAAGAACTGTCTTGAGCATCTGTCTGAGCTCCAAAAGATCGTCTCATGTCTCCGAAAGCCACCGCATTGTGTTTATTGTGTTTCGTCTTCGTCTTCTGAGGTGCAGCTCATTTATTAGAGAAGAAAAAACACCTCAGTGGCTTCTCCAAACACATGAAATACAGAACTGCTCCTGATTGCTCCAGGTTATCAAGAAGTGATGATTTTGTTCTCTTTTGTTTCTTACTGGATGGAAACGCTGCTTTATTCACAAATGTTTTAGGTCATATTCCAGACTTTAATTCACATCTCTAGCTTTGGAAAAAAAAGCTACTAATGCACTCTATTACTTTCTTTTGTAAATGGTCACGGTCCATACTCTAAGTCAGGGCTGTTCAAACATGTTCCTGGAGATCTACATTCCTGCAGAGTTCAGCTCCAAAGCTGACCAAAACACACCTGAACCAATTAACTAGGACCTGAACAGCACTTGATCGTTACAGGCAGGTGTGTTTGATATGGGTTGCAACTGAAATCAAAAACATACAGTTGAAGTCAGAATTATTAGCCCCTCTTTGATTGATTTTTTTTTTCTTTTTCTAATATTTGCCGAATGATGTTTAACAGAGCAAGAACATTTTCACAGTTTGTCGAATAATATTTTTTCTTCTGGAGAAAGTCTTATTTGTTTTATTTCGGCTAGAATAAAAGCAGTTTTTAATTTTTTTAAACACCTTTTAGGGACAAAATTATTAGCCCCTTTAAGCTATATTTTTCCTCGATAGTCTACAGAACAAACCATTGTTATACAATAAGTTGCCTAATTACCCTAACCTGCCTAATTAACTTAATTAACCTAGTGAAGCCTTTAAATGTCACTTTAAGCTGTATAGAAGTGTCTTGAAGAATATCTAGTCTAATATTATTTACTGTCATCATGACAAAGATAAAATAAATCAGTAATTAGAGATGAGTTATTAAAACTATTATGATTAGAAATGTGTTGAGAAAATCTGCTTTGTGTTTAACAGAAATTGGGGAAAAAAATAAACAGGGGGGGCTATTAATTCTGACTTCAACTGTAGATCTCCAGGAACAGGGTTGAGCATCCCTGTTAGTCTTTTCAATTCATTTCAAACCATTTATCGGTTTACGGGACCTTTGTTAGAGACTAATAGACCACAAAAAATGCTTGTCTTACTTGTTTTATTTTTTTATTTTTTTAAAAAGCATTTTCTGGACAAGCAAAAAACAATTGTCTTGTTTTAAGAAATAAAAAGTCAAAATGAATTGATTTTTCTTAAAAGAAGCAAAATAATCTGCAGATGGGGTAAGAGAAATGATACTATGTCAAAAAGGAAAAATTAGATTATTTCTCTCACTCCACTGGCAGATTATTTAGCTTGTTGTAAGAAAAAAAAACTTCATTTTGACTTATTATTTCTTAAAACAAGACATTAGCTGCGTCTCAAATGGCACACTTTGCACTCATAGTATGCTGTTGAGTGTGTAAGTGCATAAGTACAAATGTATGTAGTGTCGTCCCAAATGGCGCACTAATGTTTTTTTACTAAGCTGAAATTCAAACCTGTTTCCCTGATGACGCTTGACGGTCGCCAAATCAGTGAAATAAATTACCAAACTATCAAATAATATCTGCCGTGAGTATAACCACATTCACCATCAGGAGGCGCTATAATCACTCTCGTAGGAGAATTTCGCTTTCACCATCCAAAATAAATAAAGTTATTCAACATGTGCGTCCGATAGCTCCGCCCCTTCCGCTACGTGAGCAAACCGGCGGTCGTTGAGTGCGTGAAGTGTTCATCATTACACACTTCATTTTAGCGGCTGAATGAGTGCATCATCCGGGTAATTAAAGTGCGCTTATTGTTTTTAGAGTTTTCAGTGTGAACGCACTACTTACACTATTTATACTACAAAATGGTGTAGAATAGTGCATAAGTATGCGATTTGGGACGCAGCTAATATTTTTGCTCATCTATTAACCCTGCTGAAAAATCCAGC